ATACTCATGATTCTTCATTTTATTGTCAATTTGTCATTGAATATCACAAATAGTCTTGAACAAGTGCTAAGTTTAATATTATTACGCGAATATAAAGAAATAATGTTTATCTTAGCTGTTAATTATAAAGTAGTGAAAACACAAATTTATTTTTTTAATACTTGTATAGTTATCAATATCACGTTTAGATAGTAAGATGTTGGACTTGATCTACAAGGCACTATACTTAACATAAAGTTGCATCGTGTTAGATATTAGTTATTGTTTGTGGCACAATAATAAGTGATTTATCCATTAAAAGAACCATTATCATTTTAAATTCAACCTTGTCAAAACTCGAAATAAACAAGACATAGAACACTATCTCATCGATCTGCCGTCTGCGTGCAACATTCAAATCTAACCAAATTAGTTCTCACCGTTAACTACATGAAATATTTGGAAAACATCCACTGTAATAATTTGTTCAAATATTAAAACCAAGTTAATTGTCAAGGACCTTGTAGTCCAGTGGCACTAAGTTGCTCCCTCGACCCTCATAAGAGATGTTGTCCCATTTAAATTTTTGACTATAAACATTTATAATAGAGAAGTAGGTGAGATGTGTACGGTAATCAACTAATCGGGTCTCTTTATGGTAATTAGGCAATATGTTTAAATTGTTTAATGGGATTGAGATGGTAATTTCGGAACGAGGAGTTGATTGAGGCTGACTAGGTTTTCCATAATTGCAAGATCACCATTTATTGTCTTCCATTAATGTATATTAATTATCTTTCAATGACTTTCACCGAGCTAACTCTATAGACTAGATGGTCATATGTCAATTGTTATACCAGAGTCATGGATCATGATTCACCTTGCAAGGTAGATTGAATCTAAAATACAAAATTTGTATATTGAATGTTCACAATTTACATATTAAATGCTGACAATTACTTTTTATAAAATTGTGAGAATGTAATTGTGAACATCCAGTATTTAAATTTTGTATTTTCGATCTAAGTCCACAGAATAATTCGCTATCATATGTCTTTTGGGCCGATTGGGCCTATTATCACCTACCAAAATTTTTATAAAATATCCCAAGCCCAACAGTTCTCTATAAAAAATGTACATGGCCTAACTTGAACAATCGTTATATCGTGCACCAGGGCACATAAAGCATTGTGGGTCTTACTTAAAACAACGTCGTTTTTTATGTTAAGAGTTTATGTGTATTAATGTATTATGTTATGAGTTTATGTGTAATATGTTAAGAGTTTATGTGTATTATGTGTTATGTTAGATTAAGTGTATTTTGTTATGAGTTTATGTGTATTCTGTTATGAGTTTATGTACATCCAAAACAGGAGATTTTTTTTTTCTTTTTTTAGAAGTTAACTACAGAAACGGGAAACGAAATTTCTAAAAAAAAAACAAAAACAAAAACAAAAACAAAAACAAAAACAAAATACAAAACGACATCGTTTTGCTGCACGATATAATTTGCTAAACTTGACGGCAAATTATATCGTGCACCGCGGTGCATAATCGATTATGCACCGCGCATCAAAACGACGTCGTTTTGTTAAATGAAAATAAACGGCATTCGTTTTTCGCCGTTCCGCACTCTTCTGCAAAAAATAACTCTATTATTCAGTTTCATTTCGTATACACTGCAGTTTCGGTTCAACACAACTACAGTTTCATTCGATATTTATAGACTCAAATATGTGAAAATGTTATTTAATTTTATTTTATATACACTATAATTTAATTAAAACACAACTACATGATCATTTTGATATAATTACAGCTTCATTGTACAATATACACACAAATATGTAAAATGTTATTCAGTTTCATTTTATATACACTGCAGTTTCATTTCACTACAACTATAGTATCATTTTGATATAACTGCAGTGTCGGTTTAGATATACTGTAGTGTCAGTTGATGTTTAATACACCAAATAAGCGGATTCCGTTAACAATAACGACGGGTCATTTCTTTACTTAAAGAAACGGCATCGTTTTTTACCGCAGTCTATGATATAACGACTGTAACTTGACCTGGTGGGCTATAATTTCGTTTCAACCAACATAACAATTCTACAATTAAACCCATTAAAGCTAGAGATACCTAAACCACAAGACCAAAGGTGACAAGGTCCATAATATTAAAATGTATACGGTAACCTCAAATTAGTTGAATAGTTGACATGATAACTATATATAATATTTTGTTTGCTGTGGTCATAAAGTGGGTTTCACTTATACCACACATCTAGATAGTGATTGTATCATTTTCCGTAAATCAAAATATACAACAGTGCTTATACCCAATTGTTATACCATGGATCAGGGTTCATATTGCATTGTGAACCCTGGTCCAAAAATCATGTGTTTACAAATACATAAATTGTTAATTATAATTACAGACGCATAATGATGGGGAATATACCTCGGGTTCAGACTTTCCGTATGCTCTGTGCTCCTACTTGAGTCGGGATCAAACGGTTTGGGTTAAAGTGAATAGGTCAAGTCCTATATAAGAGCCATTAGCCTTCATTATAAGGGGCCCCTCCATTTCCTCTCTCTACCCTCTCTCTCTAAGCTATAAGCTCTCACCTCTCTCTAGAATAGATGAGATACAACATACAAGAACAAGATGAATAAAAAGCCCACTTTGCTCTACATTTTGTTGTCTACTCCATTGTTCATATACAGTTTAGATACATGTACATACACTACGTAGCAGGAATTAGTAGTATCATATAATATGGTAACTACAAACACATAAATTGTTAATTGCATATACATAATATGTTAACTGCAGACACATAATAAGTTAATAACACACAAACATTATGTATCTGCAGTTAACATATTTTGGACATGCAATTAATAGTTTGTGCCTGTAATTACTATATTATGCGTCTGTAATTACCATGTGATCGATGTGCATTCAATTTGTTTACATGTACGGAAACGATTAACTGCAAGTACTAAATCTAAAAGTTATTTTTAGATCAGAACCCACAATGTAATATAGATCCTAATCCATAATGTAATTTACCGCTTATACCATGAACAAAGATTCGCATAATAAAATAGATTCATGATACAAATTTATTTTAATGTTTTACATGTTATTTTTAGTATACTATAGTGTCATTTTGATTTAATAATATACTAAAAATGAATGTATATTAATATATAATAAACTTACTAAAAATAAACATACATTACAATTTACAAATGAATATGTAAGGTGAACAGCAAGTGCATTATACCATGCACCCCATTTGCGATATCAAATTTGATAAGTTGTTTAATTTATTATAGGAATAAGGGTCAAATAGGCCATTGAACTGCACACAATAATGCAATTAGGCCACCGAACCTTAAAAAAAAAAAACAATTAGGCCACTAAACTAACAAATTTCATTCAATTAATCTAATTTATAGGTTTTGTAGGTTAGTAACAGGTCACTCAAAAAATTTAAAATATTTTTTAAAAAATTTTTATTTTAAAATAATAAATTACGGAGTAAAATTTATAAAATAAAATAATAATTAAAAAAAAAACGTTTCTTCGCTCTGCCGGAGACGAAGAAAGTTTATTCGTCTCCGGCCAGAGACGAAGAATCTTCTTCGTCTCCATGGCCGGAGACGAAGAAACTCTTCGTCTCCATGGCCGGAGACGGAAAAACTCTTCGTCCCCGGCCAGAGACGGTTAAACTTTTTTTTTTTAAATTTTAATTTTAAATTATTATTTTTAAATAATAATTAAAAAATATATTTTAAAATTTGGGTGACCTGTTACTAACTTGCAAAACCTGTAAATTGACTTAATTGCATGAAAATGGTTAGTTTAGGGACCCAATTGTTGTTTTTTTAAGTTCAGTGACCTAATTGTATTATTGTGTGCAATTCGATGACCTATTTGACCCTTATTCTTTTTTTTGTTTGAATGCTACTCGCTCTATTACAATGTACCTATTTGACCCTTATTCTTTTTTTTTTTTTTGAATGCTACTCGCTCTATTACAATGTAGTATCTGTTCATATACTTTCTCAACCTACTGAAACACAAAGAGCTAATAACGCCTCCACAGAGGCTCGAACTCACAATCTTCCAAATAGAAGTCCAACCCGGGTACCATTGGACCACATAGTCCTGGTCCTTATTCCTTTATTATAATACATTTTTAAAATAATAATGCCAATAAAATTAAAGAATCTCAAACTTTTCTCCAACACAGAAATCCGTTTGTAAGTGGCAATGATCAGAAGAGAATCGAATCGAAACGGTCGAGTATTGCCGTTGTCGGTTCCTGTGACGGTCAAAACCTACGTCGCAGGTTAAGCATAGCCTATATCTACTTTAAGCTTCTTGTCCCTTCTTGTCTCAATTCATTCCTACTTCATACCTGGAAAAAGTAAAAAAGCTAATTCGTACATGGAAAACAATAAATAGAGAATGGATTAGGTATTTTTGAACTAACATTTTAGTTTTGCCCACTTTTAACTAAATGATCCAAATGGTGAGAAGTTAGTTCTACCCATTTATGTACCATCCTAACTGAGTTGGTCAAATAATTAAATATTTAAATTTAAAATATTAGGTGAATTTGACTTTAGTCGGTAAACAATCATAAGAAGATAAATCAACTTAAGTTGCCCAATTAAAGAGACAATATATAGGTAACTCCAGAAGTAATCAAATTTATAATCTTGGTTATAATACTTTGGGTTAATCTTAAAGCCTTTTGCAAAAAATTAGCCTCAAAATTTTAATCAATAAAATATCATAAATAAATTAGGTTGAATCTCTAATTTTAAGAGTTTTAACATCCCGACCTACCTAATAAAGTATTTGAGAAAATTTAAATCATGTTAACTTAACTGAACGAGGGACCTTGAAATTGATTCCTGATTGCCCAGGTTTAACGTGTTCCGACAACGTACGAAAATGTGAAACATAAAAACATTAAAGTGATCATATCGATGCTACAACTGGTATATATACTACGGAGTATATATATATATTTATATATATTATCATCATCTTCAAAGTGAAAAGTTAAAGCCCTATTAAGCTACTTAACTAATTGCTTCTTGATCTTGACCGGCTAAAAAGAAAAAAAAAAAAAAAAAGGCAGACAACATAGAATTAACTCATTTTCACTCAATCTATGAAACACAGAGACCAAAAAGAATAAAACAAACAGCTGGAGAAAAAGATGATTCCCATAATGAGCTATCCATGTATGCTTCTTCGATCGGCACGCAGGCTGCGCTGCAGCTTTAATTTGATTTGTAATTTTCTTTTTTCACCTGGTAAAGTCGTGAACTAAGCTGGGCCGATCGGCGACGTTGAGGCGCCAGGACAGGAAGGAAATGCCGCCGGCGCCGGCGTCGGAATCGCGGTGGTCGTCTTCCTCGATGAACCTAAACTCGTTGCCGTAGGCTACTGAAGGGTAGCAGGAGACCTTCTGTGGGGCCTGTGAGTACTGGTGATGATGAACCCATGGATTGTTTATCATCATCTGTTGGGAGTCCATCCCCGGGGCGCCGCCGTTTGCGGTGGCCGCCGCCGCACTGGCCCTCCTCTCCTCTTTCTTGTAGCGAATTCCACACGCATTGCAAAGTGACTGCGCATATATTAGATTGCAAATACATATAAGTACGTGAGTGAGTTGGAACTCATTAAAAGATTCAAACAATGTGCATTTTTGGAGCAATTAACCTGCTAAGTTAGACTCTGATACCAAATTGAAGCATGTGTTCCATCTCAACTAAAATGCTGATAGTTGGATTGTACATTAATGGTTATATGCCTCAACATGGTCCTTTATTAGTTAGAGTATGCTGGAATAGTGACTACTAATTTCTTGAATACTCGAAAAAAAAGTGTGCATTTTGATGAGAGTTGAAAAAATACCTTTGGGCCACGGGGACCGTTTCTCCATAGCGGAGTGGAAGTGGTGTCACAGTTAGCACAGCGGCGAGCGACGTCAGGGGCGGCGGCGGGGCGGCCGGATTTGTGGTTGGCGGCGGATGAAGGCGGTTGTTTGTTGGACTGGAAGATATCCCAGCAAAAGCTGGACTTGCTGCGATGATGATCAGCTTTCTTCTCGTTCTCAGTGGTGAGACGAGTGGAAGGAGTTCCCAAAGAAAGCGTACAATCCACAGAAGACGAAGAAGAAGCAAAAGAATACATATTCTGGGCATCTTCATAATCCCCATAAGCATTAACCGCCGGCCGGTGATTACTGGGCGCCGCAGATGAGAAGAACATGGAGAAAGCAGAAGACGATGACCCATTGCCACTTTGACTGTGATGATGATGATGAAACAGACCACATGAACATGTCCCCACCATGTTCCCATGGCAACCGCTGCTGCACCTGCGCATCATGTTTTTTCTTTTCTTAACTTCTTCGATCACTTCTCGCTTCAGTTCAGAAGAAGCTAGTTTGAATGAGAGTGAGGGGCAGGCAATAATAATAATATAATGTTTGAATGAGGGTTTTGAATTGGGAGATGAGAAGATCGAGGTTTGTCTGTTAATATAAACTGGCAAAAACCAGTCAAAACTAGCAGTATCCCATGTTGTCGCCAAATGACAACATCATCACCTTCATTATTTCTTTTTTTTCTTTTGGATTTTTCGCTGCTAGCTAGCTGCTGATTGGGACCAAGAACTGTGTATCGAGAGAGAGAGAAAAGAGGGGTGTTTTGTGTATGTGTATTATGGCAATTGCCAAGTGCTCCCCTATTTATAGTAAAACCTGAGTTGTATGTAGTTTGAAGTTTATACTTACAATGTCTTCGATCTGCGTACTAGTACACACAATGTCCCAGAAATATCATTAAATATTGCAAAATACTACTCTTTTTTTTTTCAATTTTTACGTTAATCCATACATCTCTGTTACAATGTATCTCAAACTTACTGAAGCACAACGAATTAATATCACAAATACTAGCTATCAATCGAACATGATCTCCCGTTTGAGAGAATCACTTCATACTACTTGACTACAAGATCATTGTTGAAAAAACTTATTTAGAACTTTACATTAAAAATTATTTTTCACCCATAATGTTCATTAAGGTACGAGTAAGGCTGGGGTGGAAACCTTACTGGTGACATAGCTAGCTTAGCAAGAAAAATAAATCGTATTCATGAAGATATACCTTCTCTTTTAATACGATAGATACTGGATTCGTTAAAAAATTTTATTAGTAGTAATAACTTATGGATCTATATATTCTCATCTTCTCCTTTAGTTTTCAAACACATATTATTAAGTTAAATAGTTCAAAAGAGGGCATGTAGTAAAAACAGATAACATTATTGTTTTTTTTTTAATGTTACTGACTCTATTATAATGTAGTATTTGTTCATAATTATTTTCTCAACTTACTGAAGCACAAAAAGTCAATAACGCCTGAGGCTTAAACTCACAATCTCTCAGTCCAATTCGAGTGTCATACAAGATGCTTGGCAGATAAGATTATTGCTTTGTTGCACTTGTTGTTTTGAATTGATACAAGAGAGTTTTTTTTTTTTTTTTTTTAATAATAATAATAATAATATAGTGAGATGGAATAATGGCAGTCAAAAGAGGGCACGTGACAAGCAGGAACAGTCTTCCATGGATCTGCCTTCTCCGATCACGAGGTGGCTCAAAACCAAACCCCACCGTACCCCGCCCTGTCCGCAGCCACCCCTCACCCCAATGAAAATGGAGTCGCCCCCACCGCCATCTAAGCTGCTTTTTTCTTCTTCTTCTTCTTCTTCATATATCCCTTCAGGCCTTCAGTTCATGGGTCCAATCTCTCTTCCCTCCTTTTACTCACCTTTCAGTCACCCAACATTATTCAAGTACATAAGTACATTATTATTTATAAGATTATTATGAACCCTGTCGTCTGAATGATTGTTTCTGATACGTCACATTTTGAACCGACACTTCATTTTTATTTTTTTTTTTAAAGAAATAATTACAATTTTAACCTCTAGAGTTGTTAGGTGATACTTCGTATTTTATAAATGCAAAAAGTAATCAAGTAGTTTGTAACTCAATAATACCACTGTAATGCTCCCAAATAACAAATTTTGTGTTTAGATAGGTTGAAAAAGTATATACATTGTAATAGAGTCAGTAATACTAAAAAAAAAAAAAAATTGTAAAGAGTAGTGGCCACATTTAGGGGTTGTTTAGTATGATGGATTTGTAAATCCATTTATATCGAACTCCATGAATTTTTTTTATCTTATAATTTGGTTTAAGAGAATTGTAAATCCCTCCAACCATGTAATTGCAATTCTTAAGTTCTTACTAGGAATAGTTACAATTCAAAAATGAATTACTATTTTTCCATTATTATTAGGAAAAATGGTACCTTTTCTCCCTAAGTTATATACTTATAGCACTTTTTCTCCCCCCAATTATTTAAGTGGCTCTTTTTCCCCCTGAAATGTTAAATGGACATATTTACCCTTCAAATAAATATTTAAAATTAATATTTTATTTATTTTTATTCTCCAACAAATTATTACTATAATTTGGTTCAAACCAAACAGATACTATAGCAAACAAACCAAAATATTCCAATTACAATTTATAATCAAAACGCGATATTTAGAGTTTATTAAAATCGCGAACCGGAATGGCCGGTTCATGTTCCGAACTGAAAAAATAAAATACATTTATTGTTGAATTTAGACTATTTTAAAATAAAAAAAATAAAATTTTAAAATAAAGACGGTTCAAAATCGCGAACTGGATCCGGAATCGCCTGTTCACGGTTCATGATTCAGTTTTTTTTTTATTCTTAAATTTAATAAATTGAAATCCAAATATTGGGTTCTAGATCTGAATAATAACTGAAAACTTTTAATTCGATTGCTATAGTGTCTGGTTCAGTTTGAACCGAACCGTGATAATCGCTACATATACGCAATAATTTGTTGGAGAAGTAAAATAAATAAAATGTTTGCTTTTAGGGTAGAAATGTCAATTTAATATATTTGGGGAAAAACCACCACTTTTAAAATAATTGAGGGGGCTAATGTGCTTACATAAATAATTGAGGGAGAAAAAGTGCTATAAGTATATAATTTAGGAAGAAAAAGTGTCATTTTCCCTTATTATTATTATATTATTACAGAGTATATTATATAATAACATTTTAGTATTTATTCATTTCTTTCCTTTTAATTCACATATCTTTTATTCCTACATATCAAACAATGTAATTTAAATTTCATTTTATTATTTTCCCATAGTTACAATTCTTTTCCCTCCAAATCCATTCATCCCAACCAAATTGTAAATTCAGTTCACGTTTCAGAACCATTGTTAGTTCACGATTCATCATTAGCAAGAAGCCAAGAAATAACTGAACCATTTCTATGAAGTTTTAGGCGGTTTATAAAATGTCGATTCCTGTTCATGAATTGTCAATTAATTATTGTTTGTTTTTTAAGGTATTTTAGCCTTTAAATATAACCAATTATTTGAATTTTAATTTTAAATAAAAGATTGGAATATAAATTAAATAAACATGTTATATTTCATATTTTAAAATTTGAAATGTTGTCTTTAAGTTGTAAAGTATTACAAGTTATTTTTATTTTTCGTAAAGCTTTTTTTTTTTTTTTTTTTTTTTTTTTTAACTACCAAGGTTGAATTCCTTATGTATCTTAGCAAAATTTTAAACTATTCTTTATAAATAACGGTTTGAATGGTAAACCATTATATTTGATCATAATCAACGATTCACCATTTGTCAAAATAAAACCCGTAACCTTAATTGTAGTCATTAATGTTCAAAACTTAACTTGAACTTTATGTACGTACGATTACCATTCAGGACCAATCTCACAAATTTATGATTCAATTTTAAAACTTTAGTTAAAGTGGACGGCGACCAAGTTAATTGCAAGCTCAATTCTTATACTATATATATATATATATATATATATATATATATATATATATATATATATATATATATATATAAGTATAGTCTCCAAAATGGCTTTTCTTACCCATCTGTTAAGGGTCTATGAAATATTATTATTTATTTCCCGTCAAAAATCTTAATTGAGGGAAATTACACTCTAACTTCAATCAAAAACATTTGTGGCCACTAAATTGTGGAGTTAGGGTGTAATTTGATGGAGAAAGAGAAATAAAATAAAAATAAAAATTCATTATTAGTTTGATCAACTAAAATATATGATAAAATAATTATAAATTATAACAAAATTGTTAAGGTATCAGAAAAAAAAAAAAAAAAAAAAAAAAAACATCACTTTAACAAAAACATAGGACAAATAATGGTAAGCTTATAACTCGAACTAAAATTTAAATTTTCTCATAATTTAATCTGAAAAAAATCGTTCTATGAGCTGAGTTGAGTGTCATGAGAGTGTTGGTTAGTTGGTTTATGCATGCGGTCCAATCTACCAGTCTACCATATGAAACCAAACTACAAATTGATACACATACATACATTATACGCTAAATAACAAACAGTATCATATATATGTTCATGATCCTCAGTTGCCGTACCCTGGAATCACGTGAACACAACCAAAATTACCACCATCTGTCAATCAGTATAATTTTATACTGAGGTCTGAGGAATTGATGATTGATTGGTAGAAGAGTGATTTTTTTAAAAAATAATTAATAATCATAATTTATCATTGATTGAAGAAATAATAGGCTGTTTGTTCCCTACTTTTGTTAAATTGCAATTCATGGGTATTTGAGAAAGTAAAAACATATAAAATGACATCACTACGATTTGGTTGTTATTACTATTATTAATACATAAGGGTATTTTAGTCTTTATACTACTTATTTTCTTCTCAATTCCAATAATTATATTTCTCCCTACCAAACAACGTAATTTGAATTCTTACTTTATTCACACCTTATTCTTTCCCACTGAATTACAATTCATTTCCCCCCTAACTCCTTCCTTCCAACCAAACGCCTTGTATGGGTCAAATAGGTCATCTGACTATACATCAAACTACAATTGGATCATCGAAATAAAAAAAAAAAAAAAAATTCATTCCTGCCAACCAAACGCCTTGTATGGGTAAAACAGGTCATCCGACTATACATCAAACTGCAATTAGATCATCGAAATTTAAAAAAAAAAAAATTAGATCAAATCCCCGAATAATGCAATTTAACTTAAAATGACATGTTGACTTATTAACATGATGATGTGGCGGTTACCGATTTTTTTTTAAATTTTTTTTTATTTTAATAAATTTAAATAAAATAAATATTTAAATTAAAAAAAAAAAAAAGGTCGCCTTCTCTGGAACCTCGCATTTTCATCGAAGAAGGCAACCTTGTTTTTTTTTTTTTTTAAATAATTTTTTTATTTAAATTTAGTAATGTAAAATTTTTAAAATATATATTTTTAAATTCGGTAACCGCCACATCATCATGTTACCAGGTCAATATGTCATTTTAGGTTGAATTGTATTATTTTCCATTGTTCGGAGACCTAATTGTAGCTTAATTGCAGTTTGTTGTGTAATGGGATGTCCTATTTGACCCTTATTCTCTTATTGAAATATCAATATGAGTTATTTGATTTATGTAAAAGTTTGTAACTGCTATTTAATTGTGTGATTTTAGTGAAACCCACACACCTTGTACCATTAGCCGACAAAGGATCACAATGAGGTATA